CAATGGCATCTTGGGGTGCATGAGGAACAATGTGGCCAGCAGATCAAGGGAGGTTGTCCTCTCGCTCTACTCTGCCCTGGTGAGGCCACATCTGGAGTGCTGTGTCCTGTTCTGGGACCCCCAGTTCAAGACAAGGAACTACTGGAGAGAGCCCAGTGGAGGGCAACGATGATGATGAGGGGACTGGAGCATCTCCCTTATGAGGAAAGGCTAAGGGAACTGCGTCTGTTCAGCCTGGAGAAGACTGAGAGGGGATCTCATCAATGCTTATAAATAACCTAAGGATGAGTGTCAAGAGGATGGGCTCAGACTCTCTTCAGTGGTGCCCAGCAACAGGTTAAGGGGCAACAGGCACAAACTGAAACTCAGTAAGTTCCATTTGAATATGAGGAAAAACTTCGTTACTTTGAGGTTGGCAGAGCACTGGAACAGGCTGCCCAGAGAGGTTGTGGAGACTCCTTCTCTGGAGATACTCAAATCCCGCCTGGACGTGTTCCTGTGAAACCTGCTCTAGGTGAATCTGCTTTGGCAGGGGGGTTGGACTAGGTGATCTCCAGAGGTCCCTTCCAATCCTGACCGTTCTGTGATTCTGTGATAAAAGGAGAGCAGCAGTAGCAGGGGCTGAACATCATGCAGACTCCAGCCCTGCAGTCACCCCAGCTCCAGCCCTGCTCATGGCTCCCTCGGCCCCCACAGCACCATGAAGTTTATAGAATAGAATCATAGAATCATTTAAGTTGGAAAAGACCTTTAAGATCATCGAGTCCAACTGTAAACCTAACACTACAAAGTCCACCACTAAACCATGTCCCTAAGCACCACATCTACACGACTTTTAAATACCTCCAGGGATGGTGACTCAACCACTTCCCTGGGCAGCCTGTTCCAATGCTTGACAACCCTTTCAGTGAAGAAATTTTTCCATATCCAAACTAAACCTCCCCCAGCACAACTTGAGGCCATTTCTTCTCATCCTGTCCGTTGTTACTTGGGAAAAGAGACCACCACCCCCTCGCACTACAACCTCCTTTCAGATAGTTGTAGAGAGCGATAAGTCTCCCCTCAGCCTCTCCTTCTCCAGCTGCTCTTGATAAAATTTCTTCTCTTTTGAATCTGAAAGTCACAGTCCCGTGGCCAGCACTTCCCCTTCTGTGGTTTCCTTGCCTTCTCTAGATCAGCAAAACTGGGTGATCCTGACATAATTTCCCTGGTATGATGCACTCATTTTCTTTCCTCGAAACCCTGCACCCACCCAGTAGCTGGGAGATAAAAGGAGGGCAGTGCCAGTAGGGGCCAAGCATCGCGCAGAGGAGAGCCCTGCAGCCAACCCAGCTCCAGCCCTGCTCGTGGTTCCCTCAGCCCTCGCAGCACCATGAAGGTCCTCGCAGGCACCCTGGCTGCTCTGCTCCTTGTGGCCATCTGCTCCCCAGCTGAGGCCCATCTCCATGATTCCGGCATTGCTGCATTCTCCCAGAAGCCAGGTTTGCTGTCCCTCCCCCTGAGAATGCCTCATCCCCATTGATAGAACCCTCATGTCCACAGGGAAGGCTGGGAGTGGGCGGTCATCATCAGTGCTGGGACTCAGCCTCGGACATGGAGGCTTCCAGGGGGTATCCCCAAGGGATACAGCACAGGTGATGACAAATTCCCTGGGAGCCCCAGGCAGAGCCTCCGCCGCAGTCTGGAGTCTCACTCGGTTGTCTCTCTGCCCCTAGACACGGTCTTCACCGTCTGCTGCTTCAGCTACACGCACCGCCCCATCCGGCGCAGCCTCATCACCTCCGCCTACATGACCAGCAGCACGTGCAGCCAGCCAGCAGTGATGTGAGTACCCAACACCGCGGAGGGCCAGGGTGCGACAGCCAGGGCAGTGCCCCAAGCGTGTCTGAGAGTGGCCGGGAGGGGGAAGGGGGCACGGGCAGTGACACTCAGGGTGCTGCCAGCAGGACCCAGCACAGGCACCTCGCTGCCCTGGCGAAGCACCCCAATGTTGGTTTTATCCTGGCAGTCTGGTCACCAAAAAGGGGAGGGAGCTGTGCACGAACCCCCAGGAGCCCTGGGTGCAGGCATACCTGAAGCACTTCCAGATGCTAGAATACTGACCCTTCCCCGCTGCCGCCCCAGCACAGCGGTCTCGGCCCCTGGCACCAGACGCACAAGAGAGTGCTTGAGCTGCACCCTTCTTCCATGGGAAAATTTATTCTGACATACATCTGTTAAATCAAATTTTGTTTGCTAAGAAAGTGAAAATAGAAACGCAATTTAACAGGTCTGCTACTGAAGAGTCAGGAGTTCTGATGCCTAAATAAAGTGTTTGGATTATCAAACTCTTTGGGTGTCTCTGAAGTCCCTGTTGGAGCCCCAATATGACAGAAGGGACTCTTGGGGACCCCCTTGCCATCCTCACAACCTGGTTTCACTGCTCCCTCCTGGGCAGGGCAGCCTCCGCCGCATGACAGCTCCCACAGTGCTTACCCCTCCCCAGCCTGGGCTCAGCTCCTGCCCCCCAGCATGACCCAGATGTCCCCATGGTGTGACGCCAGCATCTCTCCCAGGGTTTGTCTGTTTCTCAGGGCCCTCATCACACAGCATGTGCAGAGCTGAGTCACAAACCCCCGGGGTTGGGCAGGCCCCCTGGGCATCTGCTGACAGCTCAGTGACGTGTTTGCGCCAAATACTGGAGGATCAGGATGGTCTTCAACCGCACCAATGTCCCCACAACCAGCCATCTCCTTCACTACAGCGCCTTGCAGTGATGGAGCTGAGGTCCCGGAGCTGCAGGGTGCCGCAGCTCACACACACACACACACACACTAACCCACAGTGCTCCTGGAGGAGCAGGCAGGACCCTCCTGTGTGCCTCCCTCCCCACGAAAATGAAGCGTCAGGTCGCCAAGGAGGAAGGTGAGCACAGAGCATTCCCCCAGGCACCTGCCAGAGAGGATTTTGGGCAGTGCCCAGCTGTGCAAGCAGAGGCCCCTGTGCCATGGGAAGGTGCTCTGGCCTTACCCCCATCCCACTCCTGGCATTACCCCCACTGACACCTCGGCGCAGTGCTGGGGGTGACCGTGCTGGCATCCCCCCAGCACTGTGCAGGCTGTGCCAGTGGGCTGACTGCAACACTAGGTTGTTGGGCAGTTGTGCCAGCACAACAGGCTCTGTATCCACAAGAAATGCTTGGTGTGTACCCAGGGCTCAACATAGCCTGGTCCCCAGCCTCCCACCACCAATAGCCCGCAGCACACACCCTCCTTTCCTACTTTGCCGTACCACACGAGTGGGCTGAGCCAGAGAGAGGCTGACAAGGATGGCTTCTACGGTTTCCTCTTCCCCCACATCCAGCAGGAGCTGAAGCGGGTGGCATGGAAAGTGAGACTGTGGGGAACATGTCCCCACTGTGGTCACCATGCCCCATGTCTGGCACTGCACAGGCCAGTAACCCCTCAGAGATGCTCTGGCAGACGGCTGCAAGTAACCCACCAGATCCTCATTTATCCAGAAAGGCCCATTTCTGCGCAAATTGGGAATTCTGAGATGGTGCATGGTCTGGTGTCATCAGTTTTGTGATGGCCGGTCCCCTCATGCCTCCATGGGTGCCAGCAGGTTGTCCCCCTCACCCCTGGGGCTGAGCACTCCCCAACTCGCGCAGGGATGCTGCCTGGAAGGAGGACAGGGTCTTCAATGACCATTACCGGTGGCACAGGTCCTGTGATGCCATCCAGTGCCTGTGCCTGGCAGGAGAGGAGCAGTCAGAGCAGAAGGGGTGAGTGCCAGTGGCCCTGGTCCCCGCAGCCCCAGTGAGGGCCTTATAGAGGCTTTCCAGTACTTAAAGGGGGCCTACAGGAAAGATGGGAAGGGACTCTTGACCAAAGAGTGTACTGATAGGACAAAGGGTGATAGTTTAAAGTGAAAAAGGGTAGATCTACAATAGATACTAGGAAGAAAATCTTCACGGTGAGAGTGGTGAGGCACTGGCACAGGTTGCCCAGAGAAGCTGTAGATGCCCCATCCCTAGAAGTGTTCAAGGCCAGGCTGGATGGGGCTTTCAGCAACCTGATCTAGTGGAAGGTGTCCCTGCCCATGGCAGGGGTTTGGAACTAGATGGTCTTTAAGGTCCCTTCCAACCCAACCCATTCTATGATTCTACGATTCTATGATTCAATGTACATTACAACTTAGAAACTCTTAAATGTTGGCTTTGGAGAAGTAGAGTAAGAAATATGGCTTAGAAGAGAGATTAGGTTCTTGTGTTCTTTATTTTTGCAAAATACAACCACAGTCTGTTTCTGTACAGTGTTATTGTTACGGTTAGATTTACACTTCTGGAAATAGAGTCCTAAAGAATGTTTACTGCAGGCTGCACAGACAAGTAGAATGAGGGAGTTAGTTGGAAACAGTATGGTTTTTGTTTTAATACAGAGAAACCTGTCTTGGGTTATATTCTGGCTGGGAGCACAATTAGGATCAGGGTTTGGAGAATGAGAACTTTCTCCAAATTTTGAGTTAGGTAGGTCAGTTTATTACTGATCATATATAGCTTTGAAAGATGAAATGCAGTGGGGCAAAGATGTAGAAGTACTCTGGGAGAGGTATGTCTCCCAGTGACCTGTATATTATCAAAGTTAAGATTTGGGCTAGATTTTGGAGAATGAAAGGTTGAAGTGCATTTGTTATAGGACAATGAGCCGTATAGAGGAAATGTGACAGAACTGGATGGGAAGAGCAAGCAGCTCTCCTAAAACTCTGATACAGATTTGATTCACCTGAGGGCTGCTCTTGGCACAGATAGAATGAGGACCAGGATTTGAAAAACGAAAGTTAGAAAGATTAGCCCACAGCCTGCAGAACTGTTTTTTCATACATGGGATGAGGGTTGTGGCTGGGAAGAGGTGATGGGCTCGGTGATGATTTTACCAACACTAAACTATTAAGAAAATCATTCATTACAGAAAGGACTGAGGGTCATAGAAACAAGTTTTTATATTTCACCGTGTCAGTCTTACATGAATGGAGCAAAAACCAAGCAATGGTGCTGTTCTTTGCTAAAATTTAGTTTGGCTAGGAGTAGGGCATTGGAAAAGTCCTAAAATTTGTAGGGCCCGTGTTACTACACAGAGATATCTGTGGTATCCCAGAGGGAAGGGAAAGGCATCCTGGGAAACATCTAACACATCACTTTCCAGCTGGGGCAGACTTTTCGCTAAGGTTATTGTTTGCAAAAGGTTCACAGACATCACTTCAGTACACCCTCAGCAGGGTCCTGGGGAGGCCAAGTGAGGGCATATTTGGACAAAGCCAGCAGCACCCTTGCAAACCCACCACACTTATCCTACCTGCTCTGCATTTTGACCGGCTAGGCTCAGCCTGACGACTGTATTGCTAGGATAGGAGACAGAGATGAGAAAGGCCACAACTGCTCTCATTTCTAGAGCTCTGCAACAGAGTATCTGAAATGCTCGGCAGTTTCTACCACTCGCTAAAAATTTTAGATCTATGTAGAATAAGTGGAGGTGCAAATTCCAATGGTGAACTGGTTTTGGTAAAACTGAAGACAGAAGCAGCTAGTTCAGCTCTTACACTGACACTTAAAGGAAAAGATCTCCTGACACTGTACTCAGAAGAATGCAATTTAAATCACATTCAAGCTTCTGAACCTAAGCTTCAAAGTCCTCCTCTCTTTTATTCTACCAGGAACCCTGCACTGTTCCATAAGTGACATTAGACTTTCTTCTGTCTTCCTTTAACTATGACTTTCTCTGATCTTTTTACTACTTTGCAATGTCATCCTCATTTCAAATTTCCTAATTCTGTTTTTCAAGTGAGCAGAGGGCAGAAGACAGACTTCTGAACGAGGTCTACATCATGTTTTGTTAATGCTTTTTTTTTAATAATAATAATACAGAATGAATACAAAACAAGCAATGGTCCATCAACTCAGCTACAGTCCTCTGGAATAATGCAAAACATAGAGTCCGAAATAGCTTAACACTTCCACTGCTTACATCAGTTTTGGCACAGCCCCGGGGATTCAGCTGAGATGCTTCTCAATTGTGCTAGGGAAAAATGAAGAAAGAATTTGACCTGAAGTGCACAGGAGAGGGAAAAGATGGAGTTGATTTCCCATTACCTCCCACTACATGTTTCCTATTTACACTAAGGTGCACCCTATGATGAGTTTGGCCTCATCAACACGAATGTAAATCCAAAGTCTCTTACACAGAAGTCCATAGAGTTATTTTGGCTTTTTACTTGTGGGAGTGAAGCACTTGGGCCAGGACATACACCACCACCAAGCGGTGGTCACTTGGCACAGATGTAAGGGCACTGGACAATGCGACCCAACAAGCCAGCATAAGCAAACTAATGGTGCTGCATCCCTTACCTATTTCTAAAGATTTTCCCAGTGTTGCTCAAAAACTCAAGCAAACAAATGCGCAAAGCTATGCACAACTACAGTCAATACAAGAAAAAGAGTGGAAACTTGTAAGAGTTTATATAGCATGGAGGTTGAACTTATTTGCAGAGACCCTGAAAATTCAATCAATACCTCAAATGACAGATAAGACACAACCATCTGTTCCGACATGACTCAATAATACATATATACACTGTAACAATGAGACTAAAACAAGCTTCATATCCTAAAATTGGCATGGAGAGCTCCAGAAGATTTTGCTAAGGCTGACGGACTTCTTTTGTCGTCATCATTTCGCTATACTTCAACATATATGTCAATGTCCACTTCAATTGCTCTTCAACACAATGTATACTGCAATACTTTTGCCCACTTCTGCAATTTAGTCTTATAGCAACAGCTTCTCGGTTCATATGACTAAGAATCTCTGCATTGACTTAGGAAAATGTGGAAGAGAAAAGACAAGATGTTTATATTGCTTACAAGGCAAAAATAAGAGCCCAGTAAAAATCCTCCCTGGGGCATTGTTTTCAGAGATCTCATTACAGTTTAGGCAATCTATTTGTTTTCATAGGACTGATTTATAATGCATGAAGGCTTGATGCTGGCAGTACCACAGAGCTATGCTTTAATTTGCTTAAGGACACACGTGAGATCTGAGGTGGATTTATGAAGTTAACTTTTGCCTCCACTACCAGCTAGGCTCAGGAAAGTAACCCCACCACTACCTTGCTAAACAAACATAACACAGAAATGCCCAACTATGCCAAAGACCCCATACTACACAAGCTTTGCAGTGTGCAGAAGAGAATTCATCAAGAAGATAAGGAACAGCTTTCTTCACCGCCTTCTCCTCAGAAACACCCACATGGAGCGTGCTCTGCCTTTCCTACACTTCTTTCATAGCAGCATTCAATTTTAGCAGATTTTTTTAGAAACAGGGAGGATATATACCAACCCTGGCTTAAATATTGGGCATTTTTGCAGCATCATGGGTTTTTTCTTAATACAGTTTGACTTAATCCCCTGCAAAGATTTCCTGTTGCCTACTGCACTTCTTGGCTGCCTACTTGAGGAGGAAGCACTACAAAGGGAGGTCGGTTCCACGCAGGATGGGGCACTCCTGGCCAAGAGCTGTACTCTCAGCACACACCACCGACCTCACGGCCATTCTTATAGCTCACCGCTCGATAACAACCCAGTCTACTTGTTATTACATTTCCACAATCCGCCTTCTCCCCACATCATCAAACCCTATGTGACGTCCTGGGCAGAGGTGTCCTGCACTATCACGTGCAAGGAAGGACAGAGTCCTTCTTCCCCTCATAGGGAGTACTGGGGAACTGGTCCCCATTCTTGCCTTCCACCCTTCCCGAGTTGCCTTTTCTTTTTATGTATACTCTTGAACATTGTGCTAATATCTGGAAACTTTGTTCGATCAAAGAGGTGGTGTTCAAACCCATCATGACCCCTTTTCCTCACACAGCTGATAGCAACACCTTGCTGAGGGCCACACAGGCTGCAGGAGAGCATTTGCCGTATTTACCACAGGCTGCGGGAAAAAAAAAAAAAACAAACAAACAAACAAAAAAAAAACCTCACAAAACCTGCCACACTCAGCATATTTCCACATTTTGTGAAGCAAACACTCAAGAAAACGACACGAAGCCGCTTGAAGAGAAACAGCCCAAACCTAATTCTTCTCACACTACCCAGACCCCAAAGCAGACATAAGATTTTTCGACCTAAACTGGATTTTCAGCC